GCTGAAATGTTGCCCATCGTAACGGTAGAGTTTGTGCTGTCCTTTTTTCAGAGCCGGGTCAATAATCAACTTGTAACTTCTCCAATGGTGATTTCTTTTCTCGACAGAAGTGCTGGTTTGCGTGCTTTTCCCCATTCCGTTGACCCAACCTGGAGGGGGGGGGGGGGAAGCAGTTTTGCTTATTAAAGGTCCGGAGCCGTCGGCAGCCAATCAGCGGGGAGGTTCCATTTTGTTTTCGGTGCGAGAGGCGGGCGGGCGGCGCGGTGCCCCCGGCGCTCGGCGGGCGCGGGGCCGGGCGGAGCGCGGCGGGCGCATGGCGCGGCCGTCCCGGGGCGCGGGGCCGCGGCGGCTCCGCGAGCGGCCGCGCCATTGGCTGCGGCCGGGGCAGCGCGGCGGGCGCAGCCAATGGGAGCGCGGCTTCCATGGGGCCTGAGTTATTAGACGGCGGGGTAAAAGCGCCGCGCGGCAGAAGCGGCCAAGGAAGGGCCGCGGGACCCGCAGCCATTTTTCTGCAGTGGAGCGAAATGGCCAAACTGGGCTTTTCCTTTGTTCCACAAAGAGGGGAATCCGCCATGTGAATCCGCACCGCGCGCGGTGGTGGGAGCCTCCATAGCGCGGGTGCCAGACGACCCACTGAAGAAGGAAGATTTATAAAAATAATGCCAAGCCCTTAACCAAAAAAAAAAAAAAAATTAATGCGGACTTTTTTTTTTTTTCTCTCCTCCCTTATGATTCGGGATCCATCTTTGTCTTGTGTAACTAGGTCACGGTACACCCTATGTCAGCAGTTAACAATTTCGAATGCCAACCAAAAAAAAAAGTAAATACATGATTTTTATATTTTTTCGTTGTTTTGGGGGTTTTTAAGCTTTAAGCAGCTCTGATGGCTGAAAAATAAATTTGAGAGATTTATCTCCTGTGTTAAACACTTGATTCCTGGCCATTTTTATTAACTCCTTTGGTGCTTAAAAGGTAACGTTTTAAATATAGGTATAGGAATAGTAAGTTCTTGCAAAAAATAAGGCAATTTTACTATTATAAGCTTTTTTTCTTTTTTCTTATGTTGTAAGTACCCAATCCATTCTGTCCTTGCTAAGTGTAGTTTTCATGTTAATGTTACTGGAGTGGTCCTTATTGCTAAGCCTTCATTTGCATGTCTTACGTTTTTATCTGTTTAAACCAATTTATGCTTTTTTGAAATATTTTACTTATAAAGCAAAATACCTAGCCAAGCTATGTTTATAAGTTGTTTAGAACCAGTAAATGTTAACTAGGTGTTTTCACACTGACATGTGCAGCCTAAAACTATTGAGGAGAATATTTTTAGTGTCTGCGTGCTCTGTGGAAAAACACTGAACGTCCTTTTTATGTACAGAGTAAATCTGCCACAGGAAGGTAGATTTAAGCCTTGAGCAGGAGTCCTCGCTGCGTACGGTCAGTCAACATAGCTGGACAACTTTTTCTATAGCTTTTTTCCCCTTTTTTTTTCGTTTTTTGATGCTAGACCACTGCCATACAAAGATCCATAACTTATCTTAACAAGATACACTTTGGCTTGCAAACTTACGAGAGAAGTGGTGATACAGATCATATATATTTATAGCCGTTATTTTAAAAAAGAGTAACAACTTCACCTTCAGAGCTGCATTCAACTATGGTGCGCGGGTAAGTAAGTAAAACCCTTTTGCCCTTGCAGAGGAACATATAGCCCAGGCCTGTGGCTAATGGTATTGTCCTGGGTGGAAAGATCCCAATGGTCGTCTGAAAGCGGTGGCGATCTCCTTCTCCTCAGAAACATCTAACAGTGCCTCTGAAACGTCTGTTCTCAGGGAGGGATTTGATTTCTCTTTCTGCACAAAGCTCTTGGTCCGTCCTCAGCCCTGGGTGGTTTGGTTTTTTATGCGGAGAAACGCTGTGGATCCATTGCAGGCGTTACGTGGCTGTTAACTTGAAAGCACCAAAAAAAAATAAAAAATCTGCCTGTGAAACAGTAAGATGTTAGTGAGGTTGACGTTAAAAAAGGCGAGAAGGCGGTGGTGGTGGTGGTAGGGATCCCTTACATGTTTTATCCGTCTAATTACAGAAGCTCGACAAAAAACAGGCAACAAAATGGGAGGGGGTGTTTTTCACGACGGTGAGTCTTAATGGCGGATGTCTCACTAGAAAGCACTGTAAAATCCTTCATACCGAGAGGCAGTGACTTGGAGAGAGGGGGGGAAAAGGAGGTCTGGAAGTAAATCCAAAATGAGGGAGTTTCCTTCCAAGTGAGGGACCCTTTGCAGCCTGAGTGTTACAGATGGAGGAGCCGTGACGCAGTTGATATTCACAAGCAGTTGTGCTTTAGTGCCGCCACCCAGCCCACGAAATGGCCTCCCCGCCGAAGTCTGGTGGGTTTATTATGTGAGAGGCTGCGGCAGCACCGTGTCCCGGGCGGCGGGAGGGGCGGCCGGCGGGCGGGCACGGCGCTCCCGGTCGCGCTCCGTGCTGTGTGGGGACAGCCGCCATCATGGCTTCTCCTTCCCTTCGGCGTCCTCCTCAGCGCGGCGCGGCGGGCTCTCCCCCGCTGCCTGGCGGCGTCCCGAGCGCTGCAGGGAAATGGTGGGTTTGGGGTGGTTGTTGTTGTTTTTTTTTTTTTCTTTTTTATCCTTTCTCTCCCCTTTCCCGCCCCCCCTCCCCTTCCCCCAGCGCTTTGTGAGGGGCTGTGGAAGGGAGCGGCGGTTCTTTCTCCCCGCGCACAACATGGCGGGAGCGCCCTGCGGCAGCGGCGCTGGCGGCGCTCCAGCCGGGCCGGGCGGGGGGGCGGCCGGCCGGGAGGACAAAGGCA